TTTAGAGATTTATGATTAATAAACTTTTCAGTTTATATTGCGTGACAATTCAGAAAACAATTATAAAAAAACTCACTCACTCGTCGATTTTCGCTAAATTTCAATATTCAATTTCCACAAATCTATATAAAATTGACTATTATTTGTTTTTTGGTGTAAATGAAAATTCCAAAGTTGTAATACTGCAAATTTTAAATATTTACATATATGTTGTCATTAAATTGAATATACGTTTATTTTATTCGAATTTGTTAAAATTATTTAGTGAATTAATTATATTGATTTAATTCATTCACAAAATTTGTTTATTTTATTTTTAAGGGCATTTGAACCATTATGCCATAATTTTTTAATTTATAATAATTTATAATAATTTTTTAACACTGATAAAAAATTATTAATTATCAAAAAAATATTTACTTGAATCTAATAAATTCTTGGGGATATTTAAATTGATCAAACGATATTTGTTTCAAATACTGAAGTTATTAGGTCCAAAATACAATTTGATTGAAAATAAAATTTACTTGATTCAAGTAAATATTTATTTTTAATCTGAATTAGTAAAAAATTGTCCACTAATATTTAAATTAGTCAAAATTTTTACTACTTTTCAGTAATTTTCCACTAAAAAGTTGAGTAAAAAATTTTCAAACTATACTAAATGAAATAATAAAATTTTAACTAAAAAATTATTATAATTATATTATAATTATTATAATTATCATTATAATTTTTGTAAGTATGTATTTCTTAACAAATTTTATTTCCATATAGAAAATAGTGTTCGACAACTTAATAAAAATCATAAATTTGCACTTTGTGATTAATATGCTTCGCGACTATTGATAAATTGTGAATTATATATATATATATATATTTAATGTCGACAAGAGCAGCAAGCATTTGTGAGTCGATCATTAAGATCTTGCCTTTGATATGTATCTTTACATCGTGGAGGCACGCGACACTCCTGACAACCTACACACACTCTGCGGAAAAACGACACCTACTCGCCATTTTATTATCTTTATTTCCTTCTTGAATAATTAAACAGGAATTTTATATGTACTCACGAAAATTTCAAGAATTTGTCCCAATTCTCTAATTTTATTCGCGGAATACTCGTTTCAAAATCTCCGGTCTCCAAGTTTTTTTTACTTCTTTTCTTTTATTATTTTATTACTATTATTATTTACTTTTTTATTTTTACTATTTTTTAATTTATTTTTTATTACATTTTTTCTAATTTATTTATTTCTAAGTGTTTTTCTTTATTTTTTCTTCTTATTATTTTCTATATTATTTTCTATATTTACTAGCAACAATTCTACAAAATTCAAATTCAACAAAATTACCTTTTTTTTAATGAAATTAGCAATTTTAAAAATAATAGAATTTGAAAATTTTCTCTAATTTAAATTTTTGTTGAAAACACTAAAAAAAATTCAATTTTGGAGAAATTACAAATAATTGCAGAAATTTAATTATTTTCAAAAAAAAAAAAAATAAAATTCTTCTTATAAAATTCAACTATGTTCAAAATTTGAAAAAAAAAATTCGTAAAAATCCCAATTATCTTTATAAATAACAAAATTCTTCTCCAAAGTTCAATTATTTTCATAAATGTCAAAAAAATTCTTGTCCTAATTTCAATTATTTTCAAAAATAAAATGCATTTTTCTAATTTCAATGATTTTCAATATCTACTATTTTAATAAAATTTCCCAAAAAGAATTCAATTATTAAAAAAAAATTTTTAATATAATTGTTTGCAAACATTTAATTATTTTCATAAATAATACAAATTTCACAGGAATTCAATTATTATTTTTATAAATAATAAAATTTTTTTAATTCAATTATTTCCATAAAAAATAATTTAAAATTCTAGAAAATAATAATTGAATTAAAATGATGAAAATAATTTTGATGAAGTTACAGTAACAATATTCTTATAATATAAATTATAAAATAATGATTTTATTACTTGGTCATCTTTAATTAATATAAAACATGAAGATATCGATTGCTCCGAGTTGAAGACTCGGAGCATAAACAATACTTTTACAAGTTTTTTAATTTGAAAAAGTTTGAATTCAAAATTTTTGAATGTCTTAATTCCTGTGGAAAATCCAGTTCCAAAAATAAGATTAAAAATAGAAATGGTGCAAATATTTTTCTTCTTTTTCTAAAACAAAATAATAATTTTGTTAAAAAAATTGTGATTCATAAAAAAAAATAATGCAAAATAAATAAATTTTCTATTTCTTAATCACAGTTATTTAACAATTTTCTAATTTTCCTTGGAAGTAAAGAACAAAATTCTGCATAATTTCAATTTGACAAAACATAATATTGAACAAAATTTTAGTCTTTTAATGAAAAGAAGTGAAAAAAATTCTGATGATTTCTATTTGTCATTACAATTTTGAATTAATTGTAAAATAAAAATAATTATAACATTTATTAATTATTAATAATAAAGTACCTGTTCCGGTAATCTGTTCGCAGTTTGAAGTTAGTTGTTGTTTGCTTTTTTGTTTCTTAACTTTTTTATAATTTTTCTTTTCAAATATTTTCAATTTGAAAATTAATGTATTGAAAATCATCGAATTGTTGCAAAGAATTTTATCAAAAAATTTGATAATAATAGAGTTGCTTCAAAGAATTTTATTATTTAGGAAAATAACTAAATTCTCGCAAACAATTTTATTTGAATTTTTAAAAATCCTAATTAAATTCTTTTGAAGAATTTCTTTGAATTTTTTTTTTATTAATGGAGTTTTTTTAATAATTTTAATTGAAAATTTTGAAAGCAATTGAATTTTATGAAGAAAAATTTTATTAAAAGTGAATTGAAAATAATTGAAATCTTGCAAAGAATTTTAGTATTTATAAAAATAGTTGAATTGTTTCGAAGAATTTATTAAAATTTTAGTAAATAATTGAAATTTATGGAAATATTTTAAAATATTTGAATTCATCCGAGGAATTCAATTAACATTGTTTTGAAAATCATTGAATTTTTGTAAAGATTTTACTATTTAAAAAAATAATTAAATTATTGCGAAGAATTTTACTAATTTATAAAAATAATAGAAATGTTTTAAAGAATTTATTAAAATTGTAAGAAATAATTAAATTGTTATGAAGAATTTTATAGAAATATTTGAAAATAATGAAATTTTTTCGAGAAATTCAATTAAAGTTGTTTCGAAAATAATGGAATTTGTTTAAAGAATTTTACTTAAAATTAAGTATATTCAAAATAATTGAATTCATCACAAGAATTTTATTAATTTTTGAATTGAATTCTTTCAATTTTTTTTGACGAATATATTTAAAAATTGCATTGAAAGTAATTCAATTTTAATATAGAATTTAAAAAAAATTTTTTTGAGAATAATTGAATTATTTCCAGAGAATTTTAAATTCTTGTTGAAATTGAATTTTATGGAAATTTTTGAAAATAATTAAATTCTTTTATGGAATTTTATTTAAATTTGATTAAAAATAATTTAATTCCTGTAAAGAATTTTAGTATTTATAAAAATAGTTGAATTATTTTGAAGAATTTATTAAAATTTTAGGAAATAATTGAAATTGATGGGAATATTTAAAAATATTTGAATTCATTCGAGGAATTCAATTAAAACTGTTTTTAAAATTATTGAATTTTTGTAAAGATTTTATTATTTAAAAAAATAATTGAATTGTTTAGGATAGAATTTATTAAAATTTAAGAAAATAATTGAATTCTTTCGTGAAATTTTATTAAAATTTTTGAAAATATGAACAGTAATAATTAATTTTGTTCTTATTTTTAATATACTTTTATTTTATTTGTTTCTAAATTTTTCTTTTATTATTTTATTTATTTATTGGTTCAATAGTAATAAATATAATAATAATAAACATATAATAGTAGTAAATATTAATAATAAATATTAACAATAAATATTAATAATAAATATTAATAAATAATAATAAATAATGAGATGATTCGTTTTCAATCACCAAAAAAAAAAATTGCCATTGAGAAACATTTATTAATTTATTAGAAAACGTCAAATAAATTACATTTGGAAAATTATGATAAAAAGGGACTTTTACGACTTGAATATAATTTATAAGAAATTTTTTAAGTTTCCCATACACAACACACACACACAGAGAAGAAGAAGAAGAAGAAGATATATATTTTATATATTTTTAGAATGAGAATGATGAGCATTCATATAAGAGATGTTAAAATGAGTTTTATGGGGAATAATGCGTTTGATATTTTTTCGATTTCGTTTCTCTCTAATACTTTGGTTGGATTTAATATTCACAGTGTTGTAACAATTTTATGGTTTCACATATTCATATAAATATATATATATATATAATATACATCTATGTATTGTGTCCTCGTAAAATTAAATTACTGAGCTCGAATACATACGCATATCAAGTGTATACTATACATATATCTAGATAAAATGTCCTCAAACAAGAAAAATTGCAGTTAAAATTTTTTATTATATCAAAGGATGTATGAGAATGTAAAAATTATTTGGAAAATGAAATTTCAAATTTAAAGTATTTTATACTATTAAATTAATTTAATTAAAATTTATTTATTAATTAATAATTAATTATGAACAAAACGTTGAGAGTAATGATCACTCCGAGTCGAATTCGACTCGAAGTGATCGTTACTCTCAACGTTTTATTTTTTTTTCTTTTATATTTTATTTATTTCATATAATAATCACTCCGAGTAAAATTTGACTCGGAGTGATTGTTACTCTCAAACGTTTTATTTATAATTAAGACGACCGAGTGATAAAGTCAAGAAAACAATAATTAATTTAATAATTAAATAAATAATAATAATAATAATAATAATAATAATAATAATAATAATAATAATAATAATAATAATAATAATAATTTATAATAATTTTAATAATAATTAAGAATATTAATTAATAATAATGATTTTGTTCCAGATGCGGTGGCTATTAATTTGCATACATATTTTACTGGTTGCACTACTTTTATTGTCAGTGAAGGAAGCAGAAGCCTGTTCATGTGTACCAGCTCATCTTCAAACAAAATATTGCCTCTCTGATTTTGGTAAAAAAAATTCTTTTTCTTAATTTTTAAAATTACAATTAAAAAACTGTTAAATTAATCATTATAAATAAACAATAATAATAAAATAATATTGAATATATATTAAATTCAAATTTTATTAAGTTTAATTCGTTTAATTTTTTAGTTTAATTACACTTCTAATTATTGAATTTAAAGAAAGCAATTAATTATTAAAATAAATTACATTTTATTAATATTACTATTTATTTTCATTATTATATAATTCTCCAAAATTTATTTATATTACTTATTTTATATTTATTTATTTATAGTTATTATTTAATATTTATTTATTTATTTATTTATTTATTTATTTATTCAAAAAAGTAAACGGAATTAGCCCTTTTGTACAGTTGGTACAAAATAAATTTATTTATTTATCTACATTAACTTAATTAAATTGAAACCAAGGTAATAAATAGTTAATTAATTACGATGAGAATTTTAATTAATTATAATTAATTATCGTGAAAATTTTTTCTGCCTACTATTTTTAAGAAACATTTTCATTTTGTTTTAGTCGCTGTGATTAAAGTCAAAGAGGTAAAAAGGGGAAATGACACGAGTCCAACTCTTTACATGGTTAAAGTAAAGAGAGTGTTCAAAGTGAGTAAAATTATTTCAAGCCTAATTAAACATTTTCAAAATATTCTTCTTTTTAAATTAAAAAACTCCATTTCTGAGAATTTTAATTTATTTTGAATTTAATTTTAATTTTAATTTAATTTTAATTTAATTTTAATTTAATTTTAATTTATTTTAATTTAATTTAATTTATTTTGAATTTAATTTTAACTTAAAATTAAATTCAAAATAAATTAAAAATTTTTTAGTTAATTTTAATTTTGATTCAATTTTAATTTAATTTTAATTTAATTTATTTTGAATTTAATTTTAAGTTAATTTTAATTTTGATTCAATTTTAATTTAATTTTACTAATTAACTTATAGTAATTTTTGTAAATATTCAAGCAGAAGAAAAATTTCGTTGAAAACTTTAGGAAACTAAATTTTTTTAAAAAGTGAAACTGAATTTTTGATTGATTGAAAATTGAATAGGAATTGAAATAAGAAAAAAAATTTTTTGATTTCTATTTTAGAATTCGCAAGGTACAAATCTTGTATTGGAGGATGAAATTTACACACCAGTTTCAAGTGCTGCTTGTGGTGTATATCTTGAATTGAACAAGAACTATGTAGTAGGTGGAAGATGGGAATTTGGAAGACCTTTTATATCCCTTTGTGGTTTGGTAATGCCATGGGAAACTACGACGAAACGACAGAGAAAAGGTCTCAGACAACTCTATAAAATGGGCTGTCAATGTCAAGTGAGTAGACAACTTTTCACTGACACAAGTGTAAAATATCTTTTGCAAAAACAAATTCACTTTACATTATGCTTTTAAATAAATTTAAAATTAAGAAAAAAATTATTCCAAATTGTTTCAATTTGATTCACTCCATTTTTTTAAACAATAAATTCAAAAATCATTTATTTTAAACAAGTTTGAATGGGTTTCAAATAATTTCGAATAAATTTTAAACTAGTTCGAAAAGGGTTCAAACAGTTTTTTAAAAATAAATTCTAAAACAAGTTCGAATATGTTTCAAACAAGTTCGAATAAGTTTCAAACAAGTTCTAATAAGTTTCAAACACGTTCTAATAAGTTTTAAATAAGTTCTAATAAGTTTCAAACAAGTTCGAATTAGCTTCAAACAAGTGCGAATAAATTTGAATAAATTCGAATAGATTATAAATAACAGGGCTCGAGACAGTGAAAGTATTTAAAAATATGAATTTTACGGAACAAAAATGAAAAATTACGGACCAATTACTAAAAAAAATAATAATCAGGCCAAGTTTTATCTATACAATTTTAACTGAAATTCATTTTTAAATCAATTTTTATTAGAAAATTCTAAGAGAATTCAATTATTCAAATACAAAAATTAATAACTTATTGAATAATTAAATGCTTCTTTAAATTGATTTCTCATAAAGAATTTTATCGACAAATTTTTAAATAAATGAATTCTTTATTTCTTTTAACTACTTTTAATAAAATTTTTTGGAATAATTACATTTTTCGTGGAATTCGATTAAAATTATATTGAAAATAATTGAAATTCTACAATGAATTTAATTATTTATGAAAATAATTTAATTTCTAAAAAGAATTTTATTATTTAGGAAAATAATATAAAATTATTGAGAAGAAATTTATAAAAAAAAATAAATAATTGAATTCTTGTGAAATTTTTATTATTTCATGAAAAGTAATTAAATGTTTGCATTGAATTTTTTTTAAATAATTGAATTGATACAAGGAATTATTTTAAAAAATTTTCAAATAATTGAATTCTTGCAACGAATTTTATTAAAATTTTCAAGAATAATTGAATTATTGCGATGAATTTTATTAATTTTTTTTTAAATAATTGAATTCTAGCGAAGAATTTTATAAAAATCATTCTAAATAGATGATTCTTTCGAAAAATTTTATTAAAATTGTGTTTACGTTGAATTTTATTAACATTTTTTTAAAATTCTTTTGGAAAATTTTATTAAATTATTTATTTTTTTCGAAAAATTTTATGAAAATTGTGTTTGAAAATAATAATTAAATTCCTGTAAAAATTTTATGATTTATGAAAATAATTGAATTATTGCGAAAAAGTTTTATAAAAAAATTTGTAAATCATTGAATTTTTGCAAAGAATTTTATCAAAAAATTTAATAATTATTGAATTTCTTCGAAGAATTTTATTTTTAATGAAAATAATTGAATTTTTGGGAAGAATTTTATTAAAATTTTTGTTAATCCTAATTTTGAATTCTTTTGGAGAATTTCTTTGAATTTTTTTTTTAACATAGTGGACTTTCTTTAATAATTTTATTTGGAAAATTTTAAAGTAATTGTATTTTATATGAACAATTTCTTTCAAGTTTTTACAATAATCGTGTTGCTTAATAATTAAAATTAAAAATTTAATTCTTGAATTTTATTAAAATTTTTAGAAAATAATTGAATTCTTTCTAAAAATGTCTTTAATTTATTCAACACAAGAAATTTGTTAATAATTGTATTGAAAATAATTGAATTCTTGCAACGAATTTTATTAAAATTTTCAAAAATAATTGAATTCTTAAGAAGAATTTTATAAAATTCATTTTAAATAATTGTTTTTTTTCGAAAAATTTTAAGAATAGTGTGTTTGAAAATAATTAAATTCCTGTGGAAATTTTATTATTTATCAAAATAATTGAATTATTGCAAACAAATTGATAAAAAAATTTGTAAGTCATTGAATTTTTGTAATGAATTTAATGAACAACTATTGATAATAATTGAATTTCTTCGAAGAATTTTATTATTTATGAAAATAATTGAATTTTTACAAAGAAGTTTACTATATCTAGAAAAATATTAGAATACCTTTGAGGAATTTTGTTATTTCTCTAAATAATTGAATTTTTTCAAGAATTTTACTGTCTATAAAAATAATTGAATACTTTTGAAGAAATTTGTTATTTCTCTAAATAATTGAATTTTTTCAAGAATTTTATTAAAAATAATTGATTTTTTACAAAAAATTGTACTATCTTTAAAAACAATTGAATATCTTTGAAAAACTTTGTTGTTTCTCTAAATAATGGAATGTTTTTAAGAATTTTATTAAAATTTTTGAAAATAATTGAATTTCAGAGAAGAATTTTATAATCTATAAAAATAATTGAATACCTTTGAAGAATTTTGTTATTTCTCTAAATAATTGAATTTTTTCAAGAATTTTATTAAAATTGTATTAAAAATAATTGAATTTTTTATCTATAAAAATAATTGAATACCTTTGAAAAATTTTGCTATTTCTCTAAATAATTGAATTTTTACAAGAATTTTATTAAAATTTTTGAAAATAATTGAATTTCAAAGAAGAATTTTATAATTTATAAAAAATAATTGAATACCTTTGGTGAATTTTGTTATTTCTCTAAATAATTGAATTTTTTCAAGAATTTTATTAAAATTGTATTAAAAATAATTGAATTTTTTATCTATAAAAATAATTGAATACCTTTGAAAAATTTTGCTATTTCTCTAAATAATTAAATTTTTACAAGAATTTTATTAAAATTTTTGAAAATAATTGAATTTCAAAGAAGAATTTTATAATTTATAAAAAATAATTGAATACCTTTGGTGAATTTTGTTATTTCTCTAAATAATTGAATTTTTTCAAGAATTTTATTAAAATTTTTGAAAATAATTGAATTTCAGAGAAGAATTTTATTAATTTATAAAAATAATTGAAATTTTGATGAGAATTTAAAAAAAATTCATTAACAATTTCGAACTTGTTTGAAACGAACCCAAACATGAAAATTCAAAGTACGAAAAATATTTTCAATTCATTTACAAGCAGGTTTTGAAAATATGAAAAGAAAATCAGAGAATAATGAAAATGTTTTTTTCCTTTTTTTTTGCTTTTTCAACAGATTGCCTACACGTCGTTCAATCGTAAGGGTTCAGTTTTGGAGAAATCAAATGGAAAGAAATGCCTGTGGGAAAGTGAGCCGGGACCATTGATTTGTCAGGAGCAACATGGAGTTTGCCTAAAGGGTCTGGATGGATGCTCATGGTTTCCGTCAGCGTCTTACAAGACATGCATTAAAGAGCATAAACTTAATCGGGAACAGCGCAGATCATAGGAAGTGTGATTCACGAGCTGGAAATCATCCGTTTTGCAATTTACAATCGTTTCAGTCATCTCTCTCTCTCTCTCTATCTCAACATTTGCGCATTTGCTCTTTTATTTATCATTGAGAGACCACTATATAGCTATAAAATGCGAATATATTTCAATTCCTCTCTTCAATGCGCAAATTTACATCATTTTCACTGTAACTCATTGAGTTCTTCATTCTTGAGTCTTAAATGACAGAATTAAGTGGAATTAGTTTCAAAGGCAAAACAAAACACAAAAACACAATTTGTGAATGTTGGGGGAATTTTTTTTTTTTTTTTTTGCCTTCTTAAGATCTTTTTGTAGAGACTAATTTTCCCGAATGGTTCTTTTGCGTCTTTCTGGTAGTCGCGATTCCAGGGAAATGGAAGCATTGAGCGAGAAAGATGAAAGAGAGGAAAAAAAAGGAGGAAGAAGATGAAAAAGAGGAAACAGAGAAAGAAGATTATCGTGATGATTCGTTTCGGTTTTTATCCAGATTTTTGTTTGTAATTTTACCAACAACAATTGTTGCTATTGTACTCTGTCTAAATTATATACATAATAAGGAAGGAAAATTTTGCATTTTATGATAATTTATACAAGGAATTTGAAATTTGTGCTCTGGAGCAAAATAACTTGTTTACTGTCAAAAGAAAGCATCTTTACAATCATCTTTGCAGTGAAAAAAAATTACAAAAAATTTTTTTCTTGCAACAACAAAATATTTGATACAAAAATATATTTTATGCAGCAATAAATATTTCGTACAAAATTATATCTCTTGTAGCAATAAAAAAAGATTTTGATAGAAAAATAAATTTTTTTGTAGGTTCAATAAAAATTTTTAATAAATATATATATTTTTTTTAAGCAACAAATATTTTATATAAAAAATATATTATATATTTTCTAGCAATGAATATTTGATACAATATTTTTTCTATTAATAAATATTTTATAGAAAAATGTATTGTTTGTTACAACAAATATTTGATGGGAAATATATTCTTTTCTAAGAAATATTTATTCACTACAAAAATATTTATTTAATTAGAATTTATTTAGTATTAAACACTTTTTTGATACAAATATATTTTTCTGCTTGAAGTAAATATTTAGTTGTTAAAAGAAAATAGATGTTTAATAACAATAGACTTTCATTTCACTCGAAACATAAATATTTTGAATTTTCTTTTGAAAGTACGAAATCACTTCAAAGAAATAATTTTTCAAATAATTAAAAATTTATTTTTAAAATAACTTTTTTTTTTGCAAATAATTTTTCAATATGACAAATAGTGTCGAGAGAAAACATTTTTTTTTTAACGAAAATAATATTTTTTTAGAAAAATAAATATTTATTTGGTACTAAAAAAAATATTTCTCTAAAAATAAATATTTATTTAGTACCAAAATAAATATTTATTTAGTACCAAAAAAATATTTCTCTAAACATAAATATTTATTTAGTACCAAAAAAATATTTCTCTAAACATAAATATTTATTTAGTACCAAAAAAATATTTCTCTAAAAATAAATATTTATTTAGTGCCAAAAAAATATTTCTCCAAAAATAAATATTTATTTAATACCAAAACATATATTTCTCTAAATACAAGTAATTATTTAATAACAAAAAAATATTTTTCTAAAAATTAATATTTATTTAGTTACCAAAAAAATAATTTTTCCAAAAATAAACATCTTCATGATACAAATAAATGTTTTTCGAAAAATTTTATAAAAATTGTGTTTGAAAATAATTAAATTCCTGTGAAAATTTTATTATTTATGAAAATAATTGAATTATTGTGAAAAAATTTATAAAAAAATTTGTTAATCATTGATTTCTTGTAAAAAATTTTATGAAAAAAAATTTGATAATAATTGAATTTCTTCGAAGAATTTTATTATTTATGAAAAAAAATGGAATTTTTCGAAAAAAATGTATTAAGATTTTTTATGATTCTAATTAAATTCTTTTGGAGAATTTCTTTTAATTTTTTTATATGAATTTTATATGAACAATTTCATTCAAGTTTTTACAATAATCGTGTTGCTTAATAATTAAAATCAAAAATTTAATTCTTGAATTTAATTCAAATTTTTAGAAAATAATTGAATTCTTTCTAAAAATTTCTTTAATTTATTGAATACAATCGAATTTGTTAATAATTTTATTGAAAATAAATAAATAATTGAATTCTTGCAACGAATTTTATTAAAATTTTAAAAAACAATTGAATTCTTACGAAGAATTTTATTAAAATTTTCAAGAATAATTGAATTCTTAAGAAGAATTTTTAATAATTTTTTTTTTAAATAATTGAATTCTAGTGAAAAATTTTATAAAAATCATTTTAAATAAATGATTTTTTCGAAAAATTTTATGAAAATTGTGTTTGAAAATAATTAAAATCCAGTGAAAAATTTTATTATTTATGAAAGTAATTGAATTATTGCGAAAAAATTAATAAAAAATTTGTAAATTATTGAATTCTTGCAAAGAATTTTATGAAAAAATTTGATAATAATTGAATTTCTCTGAAGAATTTTATTATTTATGAAAATAATTGAATTTTTGGGAAGGATTTTATTAAAATTTTTGAAAATTCTAATTAAATTCTTTTGGAGAATTTCTTTGAATTTTATTTTAATATAATGGAGTTTCTTGAATAATTTTATTTGAAAATTTTCAAAATAATTTAATTCTTGAATTTTATTAAAATTTTTGGAAAATAATTGAATTCTTTCTAAAAATTTCTTCAATTTATTTAATACAATCGAATTTGTTAATAATTGTATTGAAAATAATTGAATTTGTGAGAAGAATTTTATTATTTATGAAAAAATAAGTTAATTCTTACGATGAATTTTACTACTTTTAATTTAATAATTGTATTGTTTCGAAGGATTTATTAGAATTTTAGAAAATAATTGGATAAATGCATAAATATTTATTTAGTTCATATAATTAACTAACTGTTTATAAAAATAAAGCAGAATTTTTTTTCCTAGAGACAATAGTTTCAAAATTTTCACTATTTTTTAGTTATTAAGTAGTAAACTATTCTTCAGTTTCCAAATTTTCACTATTTTTCAAAGTTTTCAAGATTATTTTAAAAATACCGAAAAAAATTTTTCTTTTAATTTTCCAAATAATTTTCAATATGAAATTTTTTTTAATACAAAAATTCAATTTTTTTCAAAGAAAAATTCAAAGAAAACATTTTTATAAAATTAATTTTCTTTTCCACTTTCAAAAGAAAATTGTAATAAAATGAAATTTTCCCAATTTTCTTTTTAATAACACGTTTCCTCTGTTATCAGTCTTTCTGTTTTTTTTTCTTTCTTTTCTTTACATTTCTTTTCTCTGGAGAAAAATTTATGACTCCATTATGAGAAGTATTTGATTATTTTTCTCTTTTTGAGAAATTTATGGAGAAATCGAAGTCGATTTAATACTTTTCGCAATTGAAGCTGAAAGAGAGGGATTCATAATTCAAAGTTGATTCTTGTAATTCGTGGGTAGATTGGTTGCCCACTTATACGTGGTCTCCAATTTCATGGGGAAATCTGATTTCGTGGGAAGACGTTCATATATTATAAAAAATTGAGAGAATCGAAACTTGTAGTACAAAAATAATTTGTGCTTTCGTCAATTTTATACCAGTAAATATGTCAACAAAAAAGAAAAGAAAGAAGATTTATTTTTCGCCAATTATATTTTCGTTGCATTATTTTCTTTTTCGACTTTTGAAAATTATATAAATTATAATTACATAATATTATAATTATAATTTCACAATATTATAATTATAATTATTTATAATTATACAAATAAAAATTATGAATATAAAAATAATAATTAAATTAAAATATTACAAATTACAAAATTATTTAAATTAAAAATACAAATTATAAATAATAAAACAAAAACAATAAATAAAATTAATTACTATTTATATTATTTTATTTTCAACATCAACGGAAAAATTATTATTAAATAAAATTACCGAATTTTTAAATACAATTAATTAAAAATTCGGTGGAATTCAATTCGTAATAAAATTAATTTCCCAAAAGAAATTGACAGATTTACTGGTGTAAAAAAATAATATGCGTGGCAAACGAACGTCGATGTTCAGTATTTAAAGAAAACCTATTTTTAGTCTTAGTCATACAATATTGTGTAAATATATATAATATATTATTTAGAATTAAAAAAAAATTGTTAATGTTAATTAAAAAAAAAATTTTTTTTGCAAACAAAATGCGAAATAAAAATTTATCTAGTACGTTAAATAATATATTATAAATATTTGCCTGTATATAATTTATTTATACAACTTCAAAGGCGGAATTTCCATTTTAAGAGTGTCAATATAGAGAACAATATTTTTCCTCAGATTTTTCTCTTCAAGATACTCGAAAAAATTGTGGAAAATTCGCATTTTTTTTTGGGGTGAAGAATATATTTTTTTTGTAAGAACGCAAGTAGAAAAAAAAAATCCAGAGGTCGTAAAAAAAGTAGAATATATTATAAAATTCTGTTATTAATAATAAATAAATGAATGAATAAATAAAAATAATTTTAAAAAGTAAATAAAAAAATAAGAAATAAATAAAGAAAAAAAAAATTAAATTATTAATAACGGGTATTTTAAAAATACAATATTTAAAATATTTAAACAAAAAAAATTTAATTTGTATACTGGGTTATTAATTTATTGTGAATATTAACTTGTTTAAAAGCAGACTAAACAAAATTCCATCTTTGTATATGCAAGAAAAACTAGATAAATGGAAAAATAAAAAAAAAAACGAAAATAACGATTTGTTTATTTATTTCTTTACATGATTCCTTTTCTATATCTTCCAATCTTATTTCCGTAAGGCGAGTAGAGATCTTATATATATGAAAAGTCAATTTACGTCATAAAACATTCGTATGAATATTTTTTTTTTTTTTTTTGAAATGATATATCACTTTGCTCGTATTTCTGGCATTCTTCTCAATTCTCTTTTTACAATCACAATAGAAAACTTCCAAGTTTTAAAATTCACTTTCATAATTTTTCCAACGCATCTTGGAAGCAATCTACTTTTTTTATTTTTAGCTCCCTTGTTGTTTTATATTTGTTTTTTTCTTTCAAATTTTCGAACTATAAAAATATGTCATTCAATAATTTTTCAATGCAGATATTTTTATTTTATATTCTCGTTTACTAATTTTTTCTTTTCTGTATTTTTTTCCATGCGTAGACTTTTTTCAGTATTTAATAAATTATTATTGTTAATAATATTATAATATTATTTAATTATTACTTTATTATTGTCTCATTACTATTTTTTTTAGCATTATTATTATTATTATTGTTTTTTAATTTTATTGTTGTTATTTAATTAGTAACAATATTTTCTATAAAGTCATTATTATTATTATACTATTTATTTTTTTATTTATTTATTTAGTATCAACGGGCTAACCAAACAAAAACTTTACCTTAATTATAATTATTATTAAAATATTTATTTATTTAGTATCAACAGTTTTATAAAACAAAAACGCCCCTTCTTTATTATTATTATTTTTTTTTATTATATCAATTATTATTCAGATTAATTAGATAATAGCGATATAATTAATTAATAGACAATGAACTTGAATATAATAAATCAATTTGTTCAATCACCATCAAATTATTATTAGTATTATCGATTTTTCTCAATATTCGAGATTTAATTTCAATTACAGGTTTGCCCCAAGGGAAATCTTCATTATAATCTATTATGAAATCTCATTATAACGCCCAGTTTAATTAATAATAAAATTATTTCCCCCCCTTTCAACAATCCAAGTTTATTTATAAATATAAATATTACAAAAAAAAAATTTTTCATTCTCAAATGGCATGTTTTTGTGTAATTAAAAAAAAGTATACACGTATAATAAATTTTCCATCGTGAGTCTAAAAATTCCATTTGTTTTTATAGTGAAAGAAATGTAATAAAAATTAGGAGATGAAAAACAAAGAAAAAGAAAAAGAAAAAACGATGGAAGAAAATATTTGAGTAATAATAATAATGTATACTTAAAATATCGACTCACCATTTCTCGATGGTTTGGATAGAATGTTTGTTCAATTAGAGGAAAACTTTCCTTTCCCAATCGTCTTTGTAGACCTAACAGGTGACCAAATACCCATGGTTTGTCCTAAATTTGAAAAGAAGCAAAAATTTTTATTAAATATTTTTATTTAAATATTATTTGAAAATATTTTTTCAATTATAATTATAATAATAAATATAATAATAATTGCTTTTTGAATTAGTAAAAATGTTTACTTTTTTGAATTGTAATTAACTATTCGATAGACGATAAATAAAATTTTTAATTTGTTTTTTAATAATAATTAATTCCTTTCGAAAATAAATTTGCAATCAATGTAATTAAAAATACATTTTTTTAATCAATAGGTGAAATTAAAAATAATTCAAATAGTGACAAAAGCAAAAGCTTTTTAATTAGTAAAATTTACTAGTAAATTAGTAAAAATTACTATTTAGAAATTGCTATTTAAAAAATTTACTAATTCAAAAGCAAAAAGTCAGTCAATAATTAAAATTTAGTAAACATTTATAATTTTTCCTAATGTAAATTTAGAGATTGTACGAAAAGGCTTGTCCCATTTAAATAATAAATAATAATAAAAATAATAAAAATATTATTATTAGTTAATTAATTAATAATATAATTAACAATAAAATTATTAAATAATATTTTGTACTATTTTTATTACTATAATATTGTTATTGTCATTACATAATTAGTAATTAGATACGCTGACAAAATTGATCGGATACAATGAAAGACGATTACAGAAATGATATTAATAGTAAACTAATAGATAGTTAATTAATACGTAAACTATGGTGAATTGAGTATTCAATTAAGAACTAAATAATCTAAATTCGATAAAATAAAAAAGAAATTATTGTCGTACTGATTAATAAATAAATAAGAAAGAAAATAAATATGCAAAGAAAATTATTTTTTAATTTACCTGGAAATTGTAAATGGCGGTTAAATTGTTTACACTTGGAACGCCACCGTACATTAGACCGAGTAGGAGATTTTTATGGTCCTCACTAGCGTCACGCAAATTTTGACGAATCAAAACAAAGTCTGGCTTGAACGACCTGTTGAAAATTTTTATTTTGTTAAAAAATTTTTTTTGTAAAAAAAATATACATGGAAATAATTAAAAAATTTATAATAAATAATTAGGACAATAGTGAAAGATAATAACAAAATAATAAAATATAATAAAATAATAAAAAATAATAATAAAATAATAATAAAATAATAACAAAATAATAACAAAATAATAACAAAATAATAAAACAATAGTAAAAGATAGTAATAAAATAATAAAAAATAATAACAAAATAAAATAAAACAATAGTAAAAAATATAATAACAAAATAATAAAAATTAATAACACAATTATATGTAAGAAAATAAATAAATTAAAGTAGTAATTAAATTAACTTTTTAATAAAATTAAACATAGTTTTATTAATTTGTAATCTTTAATTTAAAGAATTTAAATTTACGACAATTTCAAATAAAGTTTTAATCGAAAAATTCGAGTTAAAAATAATTTTTCAGTCAATAATAATTATAATTAGAAACAAAATTTGTAAGAATTCAGAATCAATTTTTTGTAATTATTAGAAGTAAGTTTTTAATCAATATAATTAGAAATAAATTTTTCACCAATGTAAACAGACAAATATATTTTTAAATAATACGATAAATAAAATTTTTAATTTGTTTTTTAACAAACAAAAATCACTAATAATTTTAATATTATTATTATTATTATTTTTATTATATTTTTAATATTAATATAACTTTATTAACACAATATTAATATGTAATTAAATAAATAAATTAACAACAATAAATATTTATTTGTATCCAGTAATTAAATATTTAATATTTAATTTAATAATGATGATGATTTAAATTTAACCGAAAGCTTCGAGTCAATTTAATGGTAAAATAATTAAATGAAAAATGAATTATTTTCATAAATTATTAAACATAATCAATTTCCACCGAGCGATAAATTCAAAATAATATAAAATATTAAAATTTTCGTTTATTTCTATAAATATTTAAATATAAATTATTTTCTTTCGAGTAATATATTTATTTGCAATAATTGTCAAGTGAATTATTATTTTTTGTAATTAAATAAATAAAAATTGTCATTTTAGTGAATCTTATTTTTTAGTAAAAAAAGAAAATTAAAAAAATTTTTTTTAGAAAAATAAAACAAGAGTTCAAAATTATATGGATTAAAATTTATTGTATATTTATTTCCCTATCACATACAGGAAGACTGCGTTATTTTAAGGAAAATTTGTTCTGGCAACTGTAACCTAGATTCGGAAATAAACATTCAAGATTCTATGAATGCTGATTTACCTAGATTTTCTTTGGTATGTGTGTGCTTTAATTCGCAAATTTTTACCACTCGATTATATGATGTCGTAATCATTTAAATTATACAAACACGAAATTCCAAATTTCTTCTTGAAAAACGCTTTCAAACTGAAAAATATTTTTCAAAATACTTCTTCAAATTTAAAATTCCTTTTCAGAATATTTTTCCAAATTCAAAATTTTTGTCAACAGAATATTTTTTCAGATTTAAAATTCTCTTTTAGAATATTTCTCTAAATTCAAAATTTTTTTTCGGGTTATTGTTTTAATAATTAAAAGAAGATTATTTTTAAAAATTCGAAATTTTCTCCAAAGGAAACAAAAAAAAAAAAAAAAATATTGTTATTTTTTAATAAATAATTAAATTCTGTATTTTCTGTCATTCTCTCTCGTATTTTTGAATGCAAACAAAAAATATGAATCTTTTCCACAAAGAATAGAGAATAAAAGAAGATTTTCTTTCAAAGAAAAAAATATTTTTTATATCCAAGAATTTGCGGCAGAAAACAAGAGGTTATTTGGAAAATTTCTTTTAAAAAAAGAACAAAAAAAAAGGTTTTTTTTTCGAAAAAAAAATTATTTTTTCCACCTGCAAAAATTTTTGTGTGAAAAAATGACAAAAAAGTCTTTTGGAAAAAATCCACCGAATGTGAAGGTAAACTTTTTTCTTTGAAGGAAAAAGAACAAAAGAAAAGTTTTTTTTCTAAGAAAAAATTTTTTTCACCCATAAAAATTTGTGGGTGGAAAAATGGAAAAAAAATTCTGTTAGAAAACTTTCTCCGAATGTAAAGGTAAATTTTTTTTCTTTGAAGAAAAAGGAACAAAAAAAAGAAGATTTTTTTCGAAGAAAAAATTATTTTTTCCACCCATAAAAATTTTTGGTTGGAAAAAAAATTCTTTTGGAAAACTTTCTCTGAATGTAATGGTAAATTTTTTTTCCGTTGAAAAAAAGAACAAAAAAAGGTTTTTTCGAAGAAAAAATGATTTTTTCCACCCGCAAGAATTTTTGGGTGGAAAAATGAAAAGTTTTTCGGAAAAATCTTCACCGACTTTAAAGGTAAATGAAAAATAAAAAAAAAATGAAGACGTTATGGAAAAAAGGTAATTTGAACATATATGGCGAAGGTTTATGGTCTTCTTTTGAGAGTTGAGTTTAACAAGAAGGTCGACAGTTAAGAGAAGATTAAGTGCCCCGTAGGAAAAAAAAAGTGCGGGATGGTAATTCAAAGAAACCGACTGAGAAGAGGGACAAGATAAAATGATGAAAATGAGAAGGTTGTACGACTTATGGTATTGCTTTACATAAAGGTGTTGAGACTATGGATTCAAAAAAAAGAGAAAAAAAAATGAAAAAAAAAATCGTGAAAGAACCATAAAAAAGAGGTAAATGTTATGATTTTTTGAATATTTAACCAAAGTGTCATTTAACCAAATTTTTATTCAGCCATCTAACTTTTGTTCCATTTAACATTTATTTTATTTTATTTTTATTTATTTTATTTAACATTTGATTTCCACTTTTTTGGAATTTCGAATTTCACCTTCAATTTGGAATATATTTTAAGCTTAATTCCTTATTTAGCCAAACTGCTATTTAGAAGAGAGGGTCATTTAGCAAAAGAGTCTGTTTAGTCAAATTGTCATTTGGCCAAATTGTGTTCAGGTGAAATTGCAATTTGTACAAATTGTCATTCAGCCAAATAATTATTTGGGTAAATTGTCATTTGGCTAAATAATTATTTAGCCAAATTGTCATTCCACTAAATAATTATTTAGACAAATTGTCATTTAGCTAAATAAATATTTAGCCAAATTGACATTCTACTAAAATAATTATTTAGATAAATTGTCATTCCGTTAAATAATTGCAATTGTTTAGCCAAATTGTCATTTATTTCAATTTTCATTTTGCTAAATTGTAATTTAATGAATTTGTCATTGAGTTAAATTGTCATTTAGCCAAATAGTTATTCAGTCAAATTGACATTTTGCTAAATAGTTTTTTAGCCAAATTGTTATTTATCCAAATTGTCATTTATTTAATTTTCCATTTAGCTAGGTTGTCATTTAGTCAAATTGTCACTCAGCTCAATAGTTATTTAGCCAAATAGTCATTTTCACGCAGCCGAATTTTAATTCAATCAAATTGTCGCTCAGCTAAATAGTTATTTGTCAAAATTCTTATTCAATTAAATTCTCACTTAGCTAAATAGTTATTTGGCCAATTTGTCATAATTTTACATTTTTATTTAGCCAAACAGTTATTTAGTAATACTGTCATTTAGCAAAAGTGTAATTTCGTCAAATTGTAACTCAGCTAAATAGTTATTTTCTCTAATCTTCATTTAGTTAAATTTTCATTTAGTCAAACTGTTATTAGGCTAAATAGTCATTTAATTAAATTGTCATTCAGCTTAATAGTCATTTATTCGAATTGCCATTTTGCTAATTTTGTTATTTAGTTAAATCTTTATTTAGTCAAACTGGCATTAAGCTAAATAGTCATTTAATTAAATTGTTTTCCAGCTTAATGGTCATTTAGCCAAATTGTCATTTATTCAAATTGCCATTTTGCTAATTTAGTTATTTAATTAAATTTGTATTTAGCCAAATTGTTATTTAATTAAATAGTCATTCGGCTTAATAGTCATTTAGCCAAATTGCCATTTTGCTAATTTAGTTATTTAATTAAATTTGTATTTAGCCAAATTGTTATTTAATTAGTCATTCGGCTTAATAGTCATTTAGCCAAATTGCCATTTTGCTAATTTTGTTATTTAGTTAAATTTTCATTTAGTCAAACTGTCATTGAGCTAAATAGTCATTTAATTAAATTGTTATTCAGCTTAATAGTCATTTAGTCATTTAGCCAAACTGTCATTTATTCAAATTGCCATTTAGCCAAACTGTCAATTATTCAAATTGCCATTTTGCTAATTTTGGCATTTATTTAAATTTTCATTTAGCCAAATTGTCATTTAATTAAATAGTCATTCAGCTTAATAGTCATTTAGCCAAATTGTCATTTAATTAAATATAGTCATTCAGCTTAATAGTCATTTAGCCAAATCGTCATTTAATTAAATAATCATTCAGTTATTTAGCTAAATTGTCATTACTCAAATTGCCATTTTGCCAAATTCCAATTTGTCATTTAATTAAACTTTCCTTTAGCCAAATTGAACAAAAAAAAAAAAAATATTTAAAATTTTTTTTTCCAAAAGAAAAAATTTGAATTTAATTTCGAAACCACTTGCTCTCTTTATTTTCCTCAGCTTGAACCCTTGGGGTATGCGCATAAATGACATGGCAGACAAGTGGATATGTATTTACTGATTTATGCCAAGTGGAACAATAATAATAATAATAATAAAAATAAAAATAAAAATAAAAATAAAAATTACATACCGGATAACCTTGGTCCCGTTACGGAAGACAGCCATGGAGACGGTTGTACCCTGTTCGTTTGCCGTGAGTGAGAGCTCACGGAATTCGGCTTGTTCAACTCGAATTTCATAGTCGCCATGAAGTCTTCGTCCCCGGAAATATTTACTCCAGTCTGTATTTTGATCGTCTATCACCAACAGAGTCAACGAGCGATCTTTGCCGAAAGATTGACCTCTCGTGGCGCCAGATACCGCGGCACCCAAAATTGATGCACCCTTTTTATATTGTTCATCGAAAACAGAAAATTCGAAAATTATTTTTTATTATTTATATTTATTTTTAGTATTTATTAATTATATTACTTTTTATTTTTATTATTAGTTTTATTACTACTATTTATTACTAAATTGTATGGTAAATATTTTTCTACATTTTTTCTGCTTCTCCAATTTTAGAAAAATAATTTTTCTTGTTTTTTTTTTTTTTTGGGGGGGGGATTGAAAATATTAATTAGTGTAAATGATAGTTCATTGGCATAAATTCTTTTGTAATTTATAATTTTTCAAATTTTCATTCTTCATTATTTTTGGGTTATCTTAATTTTTCCTTTATTAGCCTAATTAATAATTATAATTCTTAATAATTATAATAATTACAATTTTTAATAATTATAATTATTTATAATTCTTAATAATTAATAATTATAATTAATTATTAAAAATTGTTCTTACTAGTAAATATGCAATTTTCTTTTGTAATTCATAAGTTAAAAATTTGTTTATTTTTCATAATTTTTAAGTTATTAGTAATTATTACTAATTATTTAATTAATATTAATAATTATTAATTATAATTAATTATTAATAATAATTATTATTAATAATAATTATTATTTGTAAAACGTACTAATTTCTCTTGTAATTTATAATTTCCCCATTTGTTTCATCTTTTATAATTTTTTTATTTTATATTTATTGGAAAAAATTTTATTTGACAATTAAAATCATTCTACAATGATTTTTTTAATTTTTAATTTTTCAGAAGGGGGGAAAAATTAAATAAATTCATTTTTGACAATTACTTTATATAATTGAAAAATTGTAAATTATGTAAATTTATGAATTATAAAATAACAAAAGTTTAAAGTTATAAAATTGTGAAATAAAAAATTTTGAAGTTATAAAATTGTGAAATAACAAATTTTTTAAGTTATAAAATTGTAAAATAACAAATTTCTAAAGTTATAAAATTATAAAATAACAAACTTGTAAATTTAGAAAATTACAAAATAACATTTTTAAATATTTGGAAAAAAATACAAAATTATAAAATTTTAATTGGATTAATTAATTTACAAATTAATTAATATTCTTTTCTACTTTCTTTGAAGAAAAGGTAGGAGTGATAAAATAGGAAAATTAATATTTATTGATTACTTAATATTCTGCTATATCTAGTTTATTTTTATTATTAAAATATTTAAATTAGAATTTTTGGGAGAGAAAAAATTGAAAAGAAAACAACATCGGTGATAATTAATAAATATTCTTCTACTTTTTTTTGTACTTTTACAAATTTTGTAGAAATATATAAAATAAAAAAATATGAAATAATGATAATAATAAAAAAATAAAAATAGTTTTGTTCCTATTTTCAAACAGTGAGAGGAGAATATGAAAAACTTACACGCCAAAAAATGACAAATTCTCCTTCAAAGCAAAAAATAAAAGATAAAAAAAACAAATGCAAAATAAAATGAAAGTAACTTGTTTATACTATTTAAATTTCAAATATTGTTTACATTTTAATATGATAATAATCAAAAGTTTTGTGTATGTAAATTTTGTTCCCCATTCCAAAAAAGCAAAAAAAAAAAAAAAAAAACCGAGAGTGCTTTACATAAAAATATTTGTTTTCACTGAAAACCAAGTGGAAAAAATTTCCCTGAAAAAGAAAAACTTTCTTTGCAGCGTAAACGATGAAAAACTGCATAAATTTTCATCTAAAATTAAAAGCAAAAAAAAAAGGAAAGTTTATACTTGTTATTCTTTTTATCAAAGCAAAAACACAACTTGTATATGTAAATTGTCAAGTATTCTAATAAAAGCCTCCTTTCTGGAAGCTTTATGCATTCTTTTTTTTTGATAAAACTTTTAAAAACTCTTATACACGTTTATTTTTTTTCCCCACTGATATTTGTATATTTATTTACAGAACGAGAAAATAAAAACTATTTTTACAAATCTAGTTTTCAAATCAGAGAAAATTTAATTTACAAACGTGTTAAAATTCTTTTTTCGTATGTGTATTTTTTCACACATATTTCGTTCATATTTGCGTTTCTGTTAAAATTTCAATCAAATTAAAAAAAAAAAGAAAAAAAATGAAGAGGAAAAAAAATAAATTTGATGAAAATGGATTGTTTTGTTCAAATTTTCGTTTCTGTAAAAATTTGATTCAAATTAAAAAAAAAAAATGAAGAGGAAACAAATTAAATCTGATGAAAATGAAATTTTGATGGAAAGAAAATAAAAATTTATCGTTACAGGGGAAAATTAGATCGAATGTCGCAATTCGGAGATAGTCGTGAGTATTTGTGTCGCGACGAATAGGATACGAACTTGGCCGAGCGCGTACGAAGTGACGCGCAGGCGCGAGCGAACAGTGAGAGAGAAAGAGAAGAACAGAAACTTCTCTCTCGCACTCACATCCCCTCTTCGACGCGACGCTTGCGCGGAGCAGCAACTGGTTCCTCAACGCCGAATCAAAGTAACCTCGTTCTTTTTACATACAAATTCAATTTAAAAAAAACTGTCACAATTTTGGCATGACTTCAAGTGTCACTTGTAAAAAAATTCAGCAGAAAATATGCAATAAATATAATATTCGCCACGTGAAAAAGTTATCTGGAATGATGTGTGAAAAAAAACGAAAATTCCTGGGTATTTTTTGGAATCATTAACAAAAAAATCTTTCACGTGGTTTAAATATTTAATTACTTTATTAAAGTAATTAATTAATTTAAAACTTAAATAATTTCTGTACCTGATCTCGTGCAGCTCCAGTGAGACTCTGAACCCTCTGAAGAAGGCTCTCCCTGGTCTTGGCGGGCGACGACGGCGCACTGGTTGTTCTCGAGCCGGGCCTTAGATTAAGGCTCAAATCGCCGCCGGATTGAGCGCTCATTGGCGGTGCACCTGGTACTGGTGGTTGACTAGGCGGTTGCTGTGGGCCAGGTTGCGATTGCAATGGCCTCTCGGGTAGTCCCTGATAGGTCTGAGATGAATCCTGTCGTCCCAAGGTGGCCATCCCAGGGTCTCCGTTCGGATCATCGTCAAGTTCCGAGCTCAAGTCCCCTGACGAGAATCTAGAAGACAAGCTATCATGTTCGTCGTGACAGGGACATTCGGCATTGCTTTTTTCCTCAAGGTCTCATTGTGTTTTCGTTTTTTTTTCAGCAGCAGCAGATTGTATGCATGCGCAGCTTTCGATCCATGTATGAGAGATATTATGACCAGATGAAAAACGAGCAATGTCGAACATGCCCATAATGAAAATGGAAATTTATGCAAGAAATCTCTGTGCAGGTGTGTTTTGTTCCACTGTTAGTGGTTATTCCCACGATCTGAATGCGACGCGCGCAGAAAGAGGAGGGGAGTGGCGCGTGGTGATTGGTATTCCCGCTCTCTGAATGCGACGCGCGCAGAAAGAAGAGGGGAGAGGCGCGTGGTGATTGGTATCCCCACTCCTCTAATGCGACGCGCGCACAAAAGGAGGGGAGAGGCGCTTGGTGATTGGCGACACTACAAATAGTGGGGGCCCTTCCTCTCTTCTTGCGCTTAGCATTCTTAAACCTTGAAATCTACTTTCATGTTTGTCGTGACAAATAAATTAATCGTAGTATTTTTTCTTTTAGTTCTTTTTAGAGAAATTTTAGTTTATTATCTTAATACTTAAAAAATAATACATTACTTTATTCAAAAATAGTTTATTCGTAAATAAATTTAATAAAGAAAATTGAAAATAGTTTATTAGTAAACAAATTTAAAAAATAGTTTATTTGTAAATACATTGAATTAAAAAAAATAAATAGTCCACTAGCAACAATTCGCGCACTAAAGCGCGCGGTTAACTTCTTACTGCCTTTTTAAAATAAAATTAGCAATTTTAAAAATAATAAAATTAAAATTTTTTTTTAAAACACTAAAAAATTCGATTTTGGAGAAATTACAAATAATTACAGAAATTCAATTATTTAAAAAAAAAAAATTCTTATAAAATTCATCCTATGTTCAAAAGTTGAAAAAAATTATTGTAAAAATCCCAATTATCTTTCTAAATAACAAAATTCTTCTCCAAAGTTCAATTATTTTCATAAATGTCAAAAAAATTCTTGTCCTAATTTCAATTATTTTCAAAAATAAAATGCATTTTTCTAATTTCAATGATTTTCAATATCTACTATTTAAATAAAATTTACCAAAAAGAATTAAGTTATTTAAAAAAAAAATTTTAATAAAATTGTATGCAAACATTTAATTATGTTTATAAATAATAAAAATTTCACAGGAATTCAATTATTTTCATAAAAAAAATTTTAAATTCCAGAAAATAATAATTGAATCAAAATGATGAAAATAATTTTGATGCAGTTACAGTAACAATATTCTTATAATATAAAATAATTATTTTATTACTTGGTCATCTTTAATAATTAGAAAACATGAAGAAATCGATCACTCCGAGTCTTCGACTCGGAGCAATCGATATCTTCATGTTTTCTAACAAATACTTTTAAAAGTTGTTTAATTTCAAATTTTATAATTCATGAAAGAATTTAAATATTTATAAAAATAATTTCATTCTTGCGAAGAATATTATAAAAATTTTTACATAATTGATTTCTTTCGACTAATTTTATGCAAATTCTAATTTAAATAATTGAATTCCTACAAAAATTTTATTATTCATGAAAAGAATGGAATTCTTACAAAAATTTTTACAAAAAACTTTTTAAATAATTAAATTTTGTTTGGAAATTTTATGAAAATAATAGATATTAAAAATCATTGAATTACGAAGAGTTTTTAATAATAATTAAATTTTACAAAGAATTCTATTAAAATTTTTGACAATAATTGAATGTCTGTGTGGTATTTTTAATTTTATTAAATTTTTTTGAAAAGAATTGAATTTTCAAGAAGAAATTTATAACTTCTAAAAATAATTATTTTAAAAATTATTTTTGTGATGAATATTTTTATTTATGAAAATAATTGAATTTTGCAAAGAATTTTATTAAAATGCCTCAAAACTATTGAATTTTCACTAATAATTTTGTTATTTATCGAAAAATAATTGAATTCTTTCGAAGAATTATTTATGTAAATAATTGAATTCTTGGAAAGAATTATTTATGTAAATAATTGAATTCTTGGAAAGAATTTTATTAAATCTAAAAAAATAATTGAATTATTTCAAAAAAATTTAATTAAAATTGTATTTAAAATAATTCATTTCTTTCGAACATTTTTATTAAAATATTTGAAAATAATTGAATTCCTGTGAAAAATTTTTGTAAATAATTGAATTCTTCGAAGGAAGTTTCAAAAAACATTTTTTTATATAATTATTTTTTTCGAGGAATGAAATTAAATTTTTATGAATAATTACATTTTTTTTAGCAATTCCTGTAAAATTTTATTAATAATAATTGAAATCTCGAGATGAATAATTGAATTATTGCAAAATATTTTATTAAAATATTTAAAAAGAATTGAATTTCTGCGAAAAATTTTGTTATTTTTGAAAATAATTGAATTCTTCATAAAAATTTTATAAATATTGTTTTAAATATCTAATTAATTTTTTCGAAATATAATAAATATTCTGAAAATTTTACTTTAAATAATTGAATTCCTGTGGAAATTTTATTATTTATGAAAATAATTTAATTTTGGAGGAATTTTATCAATTTCTTTTTTAAATAATTGAATTCTTTTGCGATATTTTATGAAAATACTAGATTTTAAAAATAATTGAATTTCGAATATTTTTTGAAAAAAATTTAAAGTGTTTTGAAGGGTTTGAATATCATTTTTGAGAATAGTTTTTTGATTTCTAATATTAGCGAATTTAAAAATTAATTAATTAATTCTCAAAAAAAAAATAAAGAGAAATAGTAGATTAGTATTTATCTTTATATTGGAAATTGAGTTGATTGCAAGTGACGAAAAATGTAATTCTTTTGTGACAATAATTTTTTCTTTTGAATATAAAAAATGATTCAAGCTGGCCATGCGCCTTTGTTATAGTAAACATTTTTAAATGTAAAAATACAAAAGACATTTTTGTTCGTAGAATATGTAAATTAGGAAAATCTCATGCAATCTTCATATTGATATGGATATTGCGAGAGAAAAAGCGAGTGAGAGAGAATTTGTATAGTGAATTTCTCATTCTTATAACACTGTCTCAAGGAATTTATGAAAAATTTGTTTTTCTTCTTTGAAAATGAAAATTTCATGTCACGTTCTATTTTAGATATATTCAACAAAATTTTCTGAACGATGAATTTTGAAGTACAAAAAAATAGTATTTCCTGCTTTTGTCTATTAATTCTATTTATTAATTCGTATCGTTTATTAATTTAATTTACTGTATAGTATTTTAAAATAATTTCAAAATTAACTTACTTAAGTAACGAGTAATTTAGTAAGTTTCAAAAAAAAATTTTTTTTTCTAACAATTATAATCGAATTGTTCCATAGAAAAAATTAATTTCAAACAATTATAATCGAATTGTTACAGAAAAAGTTGATTTTAAATAATTAAAATTGAATTATTATGGAAAAAATTAGTTTCCCAAATAATTATCATAATAAAATGTAATATAATAATAAAAAAAAAATTATAATTAATATAAACGTATCGAAAAATAATTATTTTGTTATGAATGTGTGTAAACATATAGAAAAAAGGCGACATCAAGATTTTTCGAAATTCATGCACTTTAAAGAATAAAATTGAAAGAAAAAAAAAATTATTCTAATTTATTAATAATTAATAAAATAAATAAATACTAATTATTTCTAATAGTTAAAAATATTTTTCACTCGAGTCAATAAAAATTTTTTAAATCTGTCTTCCGAGTAAAAAACTAAATTTTTGTTAAACTTCATTTTTATTTAAATATATATTGAAAAAATATTTTTCAAAATTGTAAAAAAAAAAAATTGTTTTCTGGAGCAAAAAATGTGAAAAAATTTGTTTTTGAATTTTTTTCGTCCTATTTTTCTTTCACTTACCTTCGTTTCAGGTAATTAACATTGGTGGTAAACGACTGCCGGAAGCTGGAGAATGAAATGTTGCCGGGTGGTTGAGAAGGACCACAATACTTGGCACACGCGCCGCGTCCGGTAATTTTGCTGGTTTCTTTAAAATCGACTGTTTTAGTGAAGAATATTTAACGATTATTCTTCAGATTCCAGTTTCCTTATCACTTTTTCGAGTTTGTTTTGTTGTTGTTATTATTTAAAGACTGAATAATTCAGTTGAAGAAGAAATAAATTTGTTCCTTGATTCAGTTACTTCCTTTTTTTCTCTTTTATTCAGTCGTTTCTTTTCTTTTCTTTTTTTTAGAAGTGAGAAGGCGGAAAATTGATTTGAAACTGGCTTGAAATGAAATTTAAGTTCAAATCATAGGGTCAAACTAAGAGTGATAAGAAAGGACAAACTAAACAATCCAAGTTAGAATCTGAAACATTTCAAATTGTGAGAATTAAAAAATTGTCGGAATATTAAAATAAAAAATTGGGTTCACTTTCAAATCAATGACATTTTTTTTTCATCCAAGAATTATTTATAATAAATTTTATTTGTATAATTTTTTTGTTTATTTAAGTAGTAAAGTAATTAAATACTCTGTTTTCAAATAAATTCCTCTTTATAATAAACTATTTGGTTAACAATAAATTACTTTGTTTGTAACAAATTCTTTTTTGTAACAAATTCTTTTTCTTTTTTAAATTTGTTAAAAATAATTTTTTTTTGATAATTTATTTATTTTAATAGTGAAATAATAAAATATTCTGTTTACAATTAATTCATTTTTATAATAAACTATTTCGATTATACAACAAATTATTTTATTTGTAACAAATTCTTTTCTCCAATAAACTATTTTGCTTATAATAAATTTCTTTTTGATAATTTATTTATTTATTTAAGTAGTGAAGTAATAAAATATTCTGATTATAATTAATTCCTTTTTATAATAAACTACTTTGTTTACAACAAATTATCTTGATTGTAACAAATTCTTTTCTGCAATAAACTAATTTGTTTATAATAAATTTTTTTTGAATAATTTATTAATTGTAATAGTAAAATAATAAAATGTTCTGTTTACAATTAATTCTTTTTCACAATAAACTATTTTGTTCATAATAAATTATATTGTTTATAATAAATTATTTTTTTTATAATAAATTATATTTTGATTATTAGGAATTAATTAATTTCTAATAAATTCATTTTATAATAAATTATTTTGTTCCCAATAAATGCTTTTTTTATAATAAATTATAATTTGATTATATTGAATTAATTCGTTTCTAAATTCTAATGAATTCGTGTTATAATAAATTGTTTATAATAAATTCTTTTTTTTATAATTTATTTACATATTTAAGTAGTTGAGTAATAAAATATTTTACATACAATTAATTTCTTTTTATAATAAACTATTTTGTTTATAATAAATTCTTTTTTTGTATTATATTATTTTATTTATAATAAACTATTTTGTTCATAATAAATTGTTTTGTGTACCATAAATTCCTATTTTCCCATAAATTATTTATAATAAATTCTTTTGTTTAAAATAAATTCATTGTTTGTAATAAATTATTTTGTTTGTAACAAATTCTTTTCTACAAGAAATTAATTTGTTTATAATAAATTTTTTTTTGAATAATTTATTTATTTTAATAGTGAAGTAATAAAATATTCTGTTTACAATTAATGTTTTTTCATAATAAACTATTTTGTTCATAATAAATTATATTGTTTACAATAAATTACTTTTTTTTTTTTAATAAATTATATTTTGATAATTACGAATTAATTTATTTCTAATAAATTCCTTTTATAATAAATTGTTTATAATAAGCTATATTGTTTACAATAGATTATCTTAATAAACAGTTAATTAATTCGTTTCTAATAAATTTCTTTAAGAATAAATTGTTTATAATAAATTATTTGTTCACAATAAATTCTTCTTTTTATAATAAATTATACTTTGATTATATTGAATTAATTCGTTTCTAAATCCTAATAAATTCCTGTTATAATAAATTGTTTATAATAAATTATTTTGTTCATAATAAATTATTTTTTTTATAATTTATTTACATATTTAAGTAGTTGAGTAATAAAATATTCTGCTTACAATTAATTTCTTTTTATAAAAAACAATTTTGTTTACAATAAATTATTTTGTTTGTAACAAATTCTTTTCTGCAATAAACTACATTGTTTATACTTTACAATAATTTTTTTAAAAATAATTTATATATTTTAATAGTGAAGTAATAAAATATTCTGTTTACAATTAATTCTTTTTTATAATAAACTATTTTGCTTATAATAAATTATATTGTTTACAATAAATTATTTTTTTTATAATAAATTCTTTTGTTTACAATGAATTCATTGTTTGTAATAAATTATTTTGTTTATAATAAATTTTCTTTTGATAATTTATTTATATTATAATTCTATATAAGTACCTAGTAAAGTAATATAATATTTTGTTTATAATAAATTCTCTTTTTATTGAAAACTATTTTGTTTACAATAAATTATTTTGATAAAGAATTTTTTTGTAATAAATTTTTTATTTTTCAATAAATTATTTTGTTTATAATAAATTTTTTATGTTTCAATAAATTATTTTGTTTATAATAAATTTTTTATGTTTCAATAAATTATTTTGTTTATAATAAATTTTTTATTTTTCAATAAATTATTTTGTTTATTATAAATTCTTCTTTCTATATCATTAATATTAATTAAAAATTTATTAATATTCTATATTAATTTCGAATAAATATTTTCATTTAATTTATATAAAATTTTAGTGTAAGTAAGTATCAAAGAAAAATAATTTTATTCTCCAAAAAGATTGTCATTAACTTGATAGTGAACATTATTAATATTAACAAATATAAATTTTAAGTACAAAATTCAAAAGGTTCCAAAAATATATAATTTTTTTAGCTATACGATTGGGAAGACGATTTAATTTTTCTTTTTTTTTGGGGGGTGTTCTAATAAATATATGTCTCATATTTTTTTACGGGTAATGTACAGTGGAAGCTTGACCTACTTTTATTAACGCTATAGAGAGATATTTTGATATTTCGAAATGGGACAAGGTCAACTTATGGAGGGGGTATTACTGTTTACACATTTGATAAATATTTAAATATATATAAATAGTGGCGGGAAAACTACTGTGCTTTTTTTATAAATGTAATTTTTATATCATTTATTACAAAATATTTTTTTTTTCAAATTTTAAAAACTAAGGAATAAAAAAGTTGTATACTGCCCATACTTAACAGATGATAAATGAATTTTCACGTCCGGGTCTTGACCTCCAGTTGAAAGTTATCCTCTGGATAAATCCCGAATTCTGCGATGTCACTTGATGGATTTGAGGTTTATTTGGAGGATAATTTTTAACTGGAGACCTGAAGAAATGAAGAAATAATCATAAGCTTTAGCTCTTCGATAGAAATTATTGTTTGTCTTCTTTTTTTTTTTTTGCTTGTACTTTTTTTTTATATTCGCAAATCGTGTGTTTGGGGAAATTGGGTTTTTTCACACTAACGAATTTTTCCTTTTTTTTTCAAAAAAAGGGTTACCTTTTGATTTTTTCGAATTTTGTTAAATTTTTTTTTGGGAAAAATAATTTGTGATAATTAACAATTATTTTTAATTTTGTTGTAAAATTATTTTTGCTTTTGTCATATTTGTTTTTTGGTTTTTAACCAGAAATTCACTAGTTTTCTTTTTTGTTTCTTGAATAAAAATTTATTTTCTGAAAAATTATTAATTTTTTGTATTTGAATCACAAATTATTTTCCCCCAGAAAATTATTAGTGTTTGAGTCGAAACTACAATTTTCTTCACCAAAAAAAAAAAAAAAAAAATTTTAAGCTTCTTTAGAAATTATTTTGAAACTTGAACAAAAAGAAGTTTAAATTCAAGAAACAATTTTCTTTGCATTTCAATTATTAAATTTGTAAAGATGTTTTCCGAATTTTCTTTTTGTGGAGGAAAATTGAAAATTCTTTGTTTGTAATAGGGAAAAAAGAAGAAATAGAAGAAATAGAAGAAATAGAAATAGAAGAAGAAGAAGAAGAAGAAGAAAATGGTTTTCTGTCTGGCTGTCAGTAAAGCAGAAAATCTTGACATAATTTATTTTTATTTATTATTATTATTTTTTTTGTAATCCACTATTATATTGAATGACACTACGTCTGATCTATTGTACGCTGCTAACTCTACGTTCGAGTGTATACAAGCTGAATCGATATCCTGGATATTACCTTCCTTATAGCAAGATTCCAATCCAAAAGGAGTTATTTGACGAGAAGATGCAAAACGAGAAATCAAGTTTTGTATATATATATATACATATTATAAAATCTATCAAACTTTGAACTTCGATGTGAACGAATAAGTTGAACGGAATAATTAAAAGATTATTGAATTGCCTTTGGATTCGATAGGAAATTGATTTGAATTTTCAATTTTCTGTAACGAATCCTGATGAACAAAAGTGGTGTATTTATACAAATAATAATTGTTAGTGAAGAGTTGATTTTTTCCTGATTGCCAATGAGAGGCATTTCTGTACGTTTGGAAAATTAGAATCGTTAGAAATTTGCAAACTTTTGAAAAAAAAAAAAAATTGGAAAAAAATTTTGCCTCGGGCAAAATCTCTCTCTCTCTCTCTCCCTCTCTTGTTTTCTTCCTTTCCTTTTTTCTCTCGTTCTCTTTCTTTCTCTCTTTTACTATCTTTTTCCTTTTCTAAATTTAAAAAGTTGATATTTTTTTGTGATATTTTTTTTTTTTGAAAAAAAATTCCATATTGAAAAGTTAAATGAAATTGAAAAGAGTATTTTTCAAAAGATTGAAAAAAAAGTTTATTGAAAAGTACATATTTTTATTTATGAAGGAATTTTATACATTCCAATAAGAAACTGAAAATACTATTGTTGGAAAAATTTATTTATTAACAATTTTGATTAGTAATATTAAATTTATTGGAGAATATTAGTAATTTTTAATTTTAATTTGGTAAATTTTGAAATTTTTCTGCTTTCGAATTGAGAAGAAAATCGAAGAAAATAATTTAGAAAAAAATGTTGCTTGAGTGAAGAAAATAAATTTATTAATTTTGCGAAAATGTTTATTTAACACAAGAAACTTTTTGTTATTTATATTTTTTTATTCACTTATTTTCACATTTATAGTGAAATTTTTCTGTTTTCGAATTGAGAAGAATTAAATTTAGAAAAACGTTGCTTTTAGTCAAGAAAATAAATTTATTAATTTTGCGAAAAAATGTTTATTTGGCTCAAGTAATTTTTTGTTATTTTCATTTTTTCCTTGTTTTTAATATTTATTTATTCTTTTTAAATAAAAGAAATTTTTCCTTCAAAAATCGTTGAAATGAAAACATTTTTTAAAAATCTTAACATTGCTTTTACAACTATTTAGAAAAAATAGTTTGCTTGATTCCAGAAATATTTCTTTGATCCAAAAAAAATTATTTCGATTCAAGAAACCTTTTTTTAATCCAATAAAAAGTAATTGGACTCAAAAAAAAGTTCTTCGTTCAGGAAAAACATTTTGAGTCAAGAATCAGGATTTGCTTAATTTGAGAAATATTCTTTTGACTCAAGAAAAGTTTCTTCATTTCAAAGAAACGTTTAGTTGATTCAATAAAAAGTAGTTGAATTTAAAAAAGAAAGTTGCTTCGTTCAAGAAAGATTTTAAGTGAAGAATCGGTTTTCTTGATTCCAGAAATATTTTTTTGACTCAAGAAAATTTTTTTTCGAAACGTTTAATTAATTCACTAAAAAATTGTTTGACTTAACAAAAAATTCATTCGTTCAAGAAAAATTTTTTTAATCAAGAATCGTTTTTCTTCAATTTTTTTTTTTTTTGATTCAAGAAATATTTAATTAATTGCAAAGAAATTTTCCTTTTAAGAAACGTTGATGTGAAAACTGTCTTTTTAATCTGGAAACTTTGATTTGACTCACAAAAATAGTTTTCTTGATTCCAGAAATCTTCCTTTGACTCAAGAAAAATTTCTTCGATTCAACAAACTTTTAATTAATTTACAAAAAAGTTGTTTGACTAAAAAAAAAAAAAAAATTCATTCCTTCAAGAAAAAATTTTTGAGTCAAGAATCGTTTTCTTGATTCAAAAAATTTTTATTTAATTGCAAAGAAATTTTTCCCACAAGAAACTTTGATGAAAACACATTTTTCTTTAATCTAAACGTTAATTTTGCTTCAAAAAACTAGCTTGCTTGATTTCAAAAATATTTTTTTGACTCAAGGAAATTTTTTTTAGTTTCAAAGAATGTTGATTTTACTCAAAAATTGAAAAAAATTTTATTTGACTCCAGAGAGATTTTTTTGATTCAAGAAATATTTTCTTGACCCTAGAAATATTTTTTTGACTCCAGAAATATTTTCTTGATTCAAGCAATATTTTCTTGACTCTAGAAATATTTTTTTTCATTCCAGAAATATTTTCTTGATTCAAATAATATTTTCTTGAATCTATGTAGAAATATTTTCTTTTACTCAAGAAATATTTTCTTGACCCCAGAAGTATTTTCTTGCTTCAAGAAATATTTTCTTGACACCAGAAATATTTTTTTGACTCTAGAAATATTTTTTTAGACTCTAGAAATATTTTCTTGACTCCAAAAATATTTTCTTTAATCTAGAAATATTGTTTTTGACTCCATAAATATTTTCTTGATTCAAACAATATTTTCTTGACTCCAGAAGTATTTTCTTGCTTCAAGTAAAATTTTTTTTGAGTCCAGAAATATTTTCTTCGCCAATAGAAATATTTTTTTGACTCTAGAAATATTTTCTTGCATCAAGCAATATTTTCTTGACTCCAGAGACATTTTCTTCACTCTAAATATATTTTCTTGACTCTAGAAATATATTTTATGACTCCAGAAACATTTTCTTGAGTCAAACAATATTTTCTTGATTCAAAAAAATATTTTCTTGACTCCACAAATATTTTCTTGACTCTAGAAATATTTTTTTTTGGTTTCCCGAAATTTTTTCTTGACTCCAAAAATATTTTCTTGAATCTAGAAATAGTGTTTTTGACTCCAGAAATATTTTCTTGACTCCAAAAGTATTTTTTTGCTTCAAGCAATATTTTATTGACTTCAGAATTAATTTCTTGTCTCTAGAAATATTTTCTTGACTCCAAAAATAGTTTCTTTAATCTAGAAATATTGTTTTTTAATTCCTGAAATATTTTCTAATTCAAACCATATTTTCTGGATTCAAATTATATTTTCTTGAATCTAGAAATATTGTTTTTGACTCCAGAAATATTTTCTTGACTCTAGAAATATTTTTTTGACTCCAGAAATATTTTTTTGACTCTAGAAACATTTTTTTGACTCCAGAAATATTTTCTTGCATCAAGCAATATTTTCTTGACTCTAGAAATATTTTCTTAACTCTAGAATTATTTTTTTTGACTCCAGCAATATTTTTTTGACTCCAGCAATATTTTTTGACTCCAGAAATAGTTTCTTGACTCCAGTAATATTTTTTTGATTCAAAAATTTTTTTTTCCATATTTCTATAAATTTTTTTGTTCCATTATTTACAATGTAGAAAGGTTTTCATTATATTTTCGGTATTTCGTGTTTCGTTAAAGATTTTCTTGTTTCTTTTTTTTTTTAATGAAGAAATGTGAAAATTATGAGAAAATGAAAGAAAAGGGGTCGAGGGGTGGGTTGAGGAAGAGAGGTATATACAACACAGTTTCCGATGTGGTCCACGAGGAGCATAAAGTCGGGTACCAACGGTAGTAACGGGTCGATACGACAGTCATCTACCCCTATATATTCTACAAGGCGGGCGTTGCCTTCTCCGACAAGCTTTTGCAACAGTTAGACACCCCTCGAGTCACCCACTCACAGTTTCCAAAAGAACAAATGAAAAAAACTACAAAGGTAAAGAACGAAGCGGAATTTTCTCTCTCTCTCTCTCTCTTATTTGCTTCGACTTTCTTCCTCGGTATTCACTCACTAACTCTTCTTTTCCCCTCTCATCCCCCCACCATTCAACCCCTTTTCCTTCCCTAACGCTTCTTACTTAAAACCACCTTCAGCGTTCAAAAACCCTTTTTGCGTTAAGAATCTCTTCTTAAATTTCACTGAAATTCTAGCCAGACGCTTCTTATAAACTTTTGTTCATATCGATTTCTGTCCACTGATCTTATTCTTTTCTCTCCCTCTCTTAAAATTAGAGATATTTTTTTTTGTGCCTTGGAATTTTACTTTCACGACTGTGGAATTTCCTCTCTGTATGTAAAATAGAAATAGGAATAAGGGGAGGGAGGAAAACAAGTTGAGGGTTAAATATTTGAAAGTTAAGTCCTGGAGGAATGAAAAAATTCGTTT